TTTGAAGGTTTTAGAGAGAGAGACTGGAGTTGACTTATGACACTGTCTCTTTGTTTCTGTGGGCCAAAGACTATGACTATGTTTTAAGCTCTTAAGATCCAAATGAAACAGACCACATTTGGAAAGATTACTCAGAAAAAACAACACAAAAAACACAAAAATCTGAAAGTGACACAGTCCAAACTCCAGGTCTGTGTTTGTGGAGAAAACATCTGTTCTTTCTAACATGGTCGAAAGCTCAAAACATTGACATAAAAGTTAAATATTCTTGGATAATCCACCGTCATAAACCCATTAGCAGAACATTTGCGTGTGAATTCTATTTCCAGTCTCATGTTTCCACTGTATTTGCCTGTCCACACAGCTTAATGCTTCACTGGTATTTTTTTAGACCGTCTTCTTTGTCATGAGTCCGAGATGCAAATGTGTGGAACATATTCAAATCTGAAAAAAAGTTTCCACTGGACGATGGACAGAGCTGTAACTGTCACCACTGAGTTTAGTCAGAGATCTCACGGACCTGGACAACTCTTGTGTTCTGTACTTCAAAATAAAAGTGTAATTTGGATTGAATTTTGCGAATACATAAAAAAACAAAACTAAAAGATCACAGAGATTCAGATTAAATTGGATCTTCTCCCAAACTCACCAGACTGTTCCTTGAGCAAAATGGTGTCTTTAAAGGTCTTATATTACTCAAAATGGACTTAGAATGTTGTTACCTCCTCAAAAACATTGAAAGAAAATTATCTTTAGCTACAACTCTGCAGATTTTAAAGGTGGGCCCAGTCAAGCAGAAGTAAACATCAAGGCCAAAAATTCAAGTTAATGCATCTGATATAAAAATGTATTGAACAGATACATATGTACTCTAGTTTATGAAACTGTTGACCTTTTTTCTGTACCATTTTTGGTTCTAAAGTTCCATATGTTTTAAACAGACCATGTATGAAACATGGAACAAAAATTATTTCCCAAATTTCAAAGACCTGAAAATCATGTAAATAAATGGATGTATTTCATCATATCTTGTGTTATTCCATCTTTGAACTGTTGAAGAAGGGACAGGATTTTTCAAAACAAAAAAAAATTAAAATGATAAAAATTTACTTGGAAGGACTGACATATTTTATAGAAATAGTTTCCTTTCATTTTGAAGTAATATTAAAGTATTCAGAAGAAAAAAGTGACAAATTATGTAAAATCCTGCACCTTCTACTTGTTTGTACAATTTTCCCTCTGTTACTTTTCCCTCCGTTACCATGACCTTTCTTAATAAAAAATCTCATTAGTCAAAAAGTAAAAGGTTTTTCAACCTAATCTTGTACCATATGGTAGAAAACTATATGAAGCAAATATTCAAACCAGTTTGTTAAGGATATGTAAGTGAGAACCAAGAGTTATCACTGTTTGGATTTATTGCCCAAAAAGTGCTGCATATTTCATTCCCTCCGTTACCGACATGAGTTTTTTAAAATTTTTTGTCAACAACTTGAAAGAATATCACAGGTTTAACTTGACCCTGTTGGAGTGTAACTCTTTCCTACATTCTGATACTTTACTTATTTCAATAGTCCCTCTAGTTTCTGAATAAGAGACATTTGAATGTAAAAAATCTGCCCTGTTTCCCTCCGTTAACACTTGACCAGACCCACGTGCATTGTGTAACTTTTCTGGTGGAGAGTCTGTCAAACGCTTTTCTTTGCAGAGATGTTGTTATTGCTTTGTCTGAAATGTTTCACAGGTCAAGTTACAAGAAGCACATTTAGCAGATTTAATTTATCACCCCAACTTTGAACACACAAAACCAGCTAGAAAAATTAAGAAATCAGTTGAATCCCTTAAAATCAACCAAATTCTTTATCAAAATCATTACATTTCATCCTTAAACTGTTTCAGAAAATCACCAAAATGCTTTTACTTTTTATTCTTAAAGTACATTTTTAAACAGGTACAAATATTTTTACTTAAAAGTGCACTATGTAACTTTTTGGTCAGGGGTCAGCCACCTGCTTGTTTCCATGGATACGTCATTGCTGTGTCTGGAATGTTCCACAGTGTGACATTAAACAGCTCTACTTTACATTTATTCAATTATAGGTGATTTTAAAGCTCAAAAATACCTCGAAAAACAAACATTCTGACTGTGAGCGGGTTTGCCTGTCCACAGATCTGACCTGCAACTTGGTCTGGTTTGGTCTCCATGGCGATAGAAAGGTTTAATACAATACTGTGAAACATTCTAGACAAAACAACATCATCTCCATGAAGAAAAGAAAAAAAATTTATGGATCCTCAACCAAAACGTTTACACAGTTGCACCTTTAAACACTAAATTAATGTGGGGAAAACTTCACCAACTTGTATTAAAATGTTAAATAAATTGTAACAAGAAAATTCCACTTGTTGTGAAGATAATTCTGATTATTTTTAGTTGTAGATTATTTCAGTCTGTGACGTTATTTGAATTAGAATTAGTACTGACTCAGCCAAAACAGACGTAATAGACACAGGAAATGGTCTGTGGTGCATGAAGTTCTGTTTTGTGACTTAAATAAACGTACAGATAGACCTAGAGAGGCAAAAAGTTACTTGAGTAAAAGTATCACATAAAAAAATCTACTTAAAGGTACTTTGTGTATGGTATTAAACCTTTCTATCATGGAGACCAAATCAGACCAAGTTACAGGTCAGATCTGTGGAGAGGAGACCCCGCTCACAGTCAGAATGTTTGTTTTTCTATGTATTTTTGAGCTGTAAAACCACCTGTAATAAATGTTAAGTACAGCTGTTTAATGTCACACTGTGGAACATTCCAGGCAGAGCAATGACATATCCATAGAAACAAGCAGGTGATGGACCCTCATCCAAAAAGTTACATAGTGCACTTTTATGCTCCATCCACACTAGTACGTATTTGAGTTGTTTTCGTTGTGGGTGCAGTGTTCGTTCACACTAATCTGACGGAAAACGGCTCCAGAGACGGAACGATCTGGTGCCTCCAGCTCCCACGAATTCATCTGAGAACAGATCTGATCCGGCACTGTGTGGATGCCTGAAAACGCTGATACTCTGATGTAGGAGCTTTAGTTGTGTCCTTATTCGGCCACGTCACTGTGACTTGCGCGTTCCTGATTCTCTGGGTTCGTAACATAGATCATGTGACGCTATTGTGGAAAACAGTTTAAACAAACCAGAGACAAGCTGAACCTCGTCGTCGGTCCAATTGCCATCTTCCTCAGCTCGAAACTGACTGCTGCAAATTCAGACACGGTTCCTGGTTTTTACTGCCCACATGATGACGTGACGCCAGCCTAGTCATGTGACCAGCATTTCAGGCAGTTTCAAGTTACTATGTGGATAGGGAAGGCTTTAATTGCAGACACAGAAACATCGTGTCTGGACGTATGGAGTAAGAAAGCTGTCAAAAATATTCGTGCGCATAAAATAGAAATCCGTGCGTATTTGGGAAATCCGTGCATATTTGGCTGTAGTTGCGCATAAAATAAATATTTGTAAACTCTCAAATGAGTCCAGTCGTACATAAAATATATTGTGTGTATTTTATCCATCAGAATACGAATTGAAAAGTTACGACGTCAAGAATTACAATCACGAAATGAAAATTTACGATTACACTTTCATCAGTACGAATACGAATTCACATACGGAACTTTACTGTCAAAAATATGTCATCACTTCACAGACGTTATTCATCGAGCAGAAGAAACATCGATCAAGATCAAGACTGTGCAGCTCAAGTTTGTAGCAGAGTAAAGACTGACTGATGTTCGCTGTGGCTGTAGTCGTGAATGTTTTAATCTAAACCTACAGAGAACCTGATATTTGTTAATTAGCCCTGGGATAACGTTACGTCGGATGTTCGCCAACTGGCTCCACTATGTTTTCTAACATATAGGTGCAATTTCCTGTTCAAAGGAGGTGTTTCTACACAATATTATACAGCAGTGTTCAGTTCCCGAATTCAAGACATTTTTACAATAGATTTTAATGAACTCACTTGTTGTTCTGTTGTAGCTTCTTGTGCTATTACTGTTTTTACTCTGATACAAACTTGAGCTGCACAGTCTTGATCTTGATCGATGTTTCTTCTGCTCGATGAATAACGTCTGTGAAGTGATGACATATTTTTGACAGTAAAGTTCCGTATGTGAATTCGTATTCGTACTGATGAAAGTGTAATCGTAAATTTTCATTTCGTGATTGTAATTCTTGACGTCGTAACTTTTCAATTCGTATTCTGATGGATAAAATACACACAATATATTTTATGTACGACTGGAGTCATTTGAGAGTTTACAAATATTTATTTTATGCGCAACTACAGACAAATACGCACGGATTTCTATTTTATGCGCACAAATATTTTTGACAGCTTTCTTACTCCATATGGACGTAAATCGTTTCCAATACGGTGATTAGTTTCAGTGTAAACGTAAGTAGAAGTATTAGTACCTGTTTAAAATGCACTTTAAGAATAAAAAGTTAACATATTTTGGAGATTTTCTGGAACATTTTAAGGACGAAATGTAGTGATTTTGATAAAGAATTTGGCTGATTTTAAGTGATTTGCTTATTTTTCTGGCTGCTTTGTGTGTTTGTTTTGCTCAAAGTTGGGACATTAACTCAAACTAAATGTGCTAAAGGTCTCACATCGTAAAGAAAAAAGCCAGATTGAAAATGCAGTAGATCTAAAAAGTAGTGGAGTAGAAAGTACAGATACTTTAGTTCTCAATGTAGTGAAGTAAAAGTAAGAAGTAAAGTTATTTTCTGGCTGCTTTTGTGTGTTTGTTTTGCTCAAAGTTGGGACGTTAACTCAAATTCAATCTCCTAAACGTCTCACACGGTAACGAAAAGTACTTTTTACTCTTCAGTCCAGATCTAAAATGCAGTAGAAAGTACAAACACACGCTCCCAAATGTGAAGTAAAAGTAAAAAGTATCTACAATTCATATTCAAAACTCAAATCCACACAGAGCCACGAGGGAAAAACTCACTTTATTAATATTGTAATCACTTTGTTCCATGATCTGAATAAGTTAACACAAATATAATAATAATAATAATAATAATAATAATAATAATCTCTAACATTTTTTCAAACACTGCAACAACAAACATGAGTGAGAGAATAAATAAGAACTTCAGTATTATTATGTCCCACGAAACGTACACTCACACTCTGTACAGACGGGGATGGAAACGTGAACGTGCCGACGCTAAGCAAACGAAACAAGCCTCTACTTCAGCTTCAGTGTGCGGATACAGAATCACAGAACGCCAAAATAAACAAAATAAAAAAAAACAGCCGTGGAGCAAACGTAGAATTTAACCAGAATTTTAGTTTTGTTTTACTTACTTATTTCATCTTATAATACGCAAAACTGACTCTTGTGAGGTGTAAGTATAAACAAACCTGGAGTTGTGTTTCGTTTTAAGTCTTTATTATTTGTCTGACTACATTTCCAAAGCTCTAAATGCTCAGTTCCACCTTGTGATGTCATGTAGTGGTAGTTAACAGCTCATTGTACCTTTTGTTTAATAGAGAGAGTTGACTAGTCAGGCTGGAGCAACCTAGTGCCTCCGCTTAATTTAATGTCTCTTCAGGGACTAGGTCAGGAATCAGAATACACTAGAGCAGGGGTGTCAAACTCATTTTGGTCCGGGGGCTGGATCCGGCCCTCCAAAACGTTTAATCTGGCCCTCGGCTGATTTTCTACTAAAATATTTTAATTATTTTCTATTAAAATCTTGTTAATTTTCTGTGGTGTTTATCACAGCAGCGTCTCCAGCGTCTCTGTACGTGGCCCCTCCCACCAGAGCAGCACAAATGAAGACTTGTCTCTTTCCAAACGCTCTTAAAGGACGATCGTTTTGACTGTTGACCGTGACACCCTCATCAGAAAAATGTCCAACATGAGAAAAGTGGAGCCGAGTGCAGGAATTTTACAACAAAAATTGACTTAATTCCTGTTTACAGACAAGTTCATGTTAAAACATTGTGTTGAAATTGCATTTTTCTTAAAGTTTCAGGTTGTTCATAATATTATAATATTTTGTAAAAGAAAGAGTTCATCAATTTAGAAAAATATTTCTGTAATAGATTTGTGTTTCTCTGCACAAATATTTGAACTTATTGTTATTTTTGGGGTTTATATGACATGAGTTTTCTGATCCGGCCCCTTTGAGATCAAAGTAGTTTGGATACGACCCCCGGACCAAAATGAGTTTGACACCCCTGATGTAGACGGCAAAACCCTGTAAGTGTGAAGAGCCATTGAGGATTTAAAGCTGGAACAAAGAGAATGTTTGGTGAATTTCATCAAGGGGAAAGACGTTATTGTCCTTCTTCCTACGGGATTTGGGAAAAACTTAATTTACTAGTCAGCCCCGTTAGTGGTGCATTACATACGTCACGACCAAACAGCAGCGATTGGTTAAATGATAAAAAGTACACGCCTATTGTCGAGCGAACGAATCCTAACACTGCGGGGTCAGACGGTTTCTACGAAGTGAAACCGTCTGATGAATCAGGTTAAGAATTGGCAAGTCCAAGGCTGAAATCAGATCCAAATGATTCAAGTGAAGCTGTGTGGAGTTTAAAAACACAGCGGAGCACTTCCTGTACTGCCACATGACATCACAAGGTGGAGCAGAGTGTTTTCAATCTGAATACACAGGGTTCCCACTTTTTTTCACTGACAGAATTTCAAAACTTTTCCATGACTTTACGGCACCTACATGTGTAGACTTTTAGGGCTAAATATGAAATCTTAATTCTTTCCACTCACTTTATGGTTTAGGATTATAGTTTTTTTTTTTTTTTACTTTTAAAATCCTGTCAGTGCATTTATTGTCGTCTCTTTCAAACAAAAAGTGCAGACGATTGGAAATAATCATAATAGTTCAACGACAACTTAACAGAACACTGTAGTTGCGTGAAAGAGATACTAAAATTCCATGACTTTTCCAAAACTTTCATTGAATTTACAAAGTTCTGTGACTTTTTTCAGGCCTGGTCAATTGACATTTTCAATTTCCATGACGTTTCCAGGATTTCCATGACCGTGGGAATCCTGCAAACATGTGTGAACGAAACAAAACACAACTCCAGGTCTGTTTGTGACGAGGAAACAACATTATAACACACTTTAGAAAGAAATTTTATAATATCAGCCCTTTAGAAACCAAAAAAAAAAAAAATCTAATCTTATGCATGGAAAAAAAAAAAAAAATCCCTCAGTCATCCTGGTAAAACAAATAGATTTTTTCCTTTGCCAATATCTTAAACACATTTTTGGCTTTTTAATCTACTTTGGACAGTTTGGGTTTCGGTAGTTTTGGAGTTTTTTACGTGAAAAATGTAATGTGACTTTTTCTTGTACAATTTTGGCAGCGGTACTTTTACTTTACTTTACATTTTCAGTAGTTTATCCACCACTGTTTGAAAATAACTCTTAACATACAGACAGATTCTCTCTTTGCACTGAAATAAAACTCTATGAATAAATCGTGATTATTCTGAAAATATAATAAAGCAATTTACATCCAACAATTCAAATAAAAACGACTACACTTCAAAAAACAAAAACAAAAAACTAAACCTCACACCATATTCAAGTCTCTTAAGTTATGGATTTCGCAGTGAACAGACTCATGTAACAGTCACGTACAGTAGTGACCCGGCGTGGTTTAGAACGGGACTAAACCAGGACTAAAACAGGACTAAACCAGGTCTAAAACAGGACTAGATCAGATTTAAACTTGGACTAAAAGCGCTTTAATCAATTTTTCCCATGTATTTGTTTTCCCAGTACAGATATAAGCAGTTTTTGAAGTTGCTGTGCATTTTATTCATTATATTATAGTCCGAGAATCAGGAAGTGTGCAGTTAGAATGCTAGTTGTTCTTAGCATTACCGTGACTGCAAACCAAATAAAATGAACTCGTTCTGTTTTTCACGATTTTAAGACTGAATTATAAAACTTTAAACTTTTAACCAAGTTTAAACTACGACTAAACCAGGTCTAAAACAGGACTTAAGCAGGTCTGAAGCAGGACTTCATCAGGGCTAAACTAGGACTAAACCAGGTCTAACACAGAACTAAATCAGGACTAACCCAGGTCTGAAAAAGCATTTCATCAGCTCTAAACTTGGACTAAACCAGGTCTAAAACAGGACTACACATAGTCTAAAACAGAACTAAACCAGATCTAAACTAGGACTAAACCAGGTCTAAAACAGGACTAACCCAGGTCTGAAACAGCATTTCATCAGCTCTAACCTCGGACTAAACCAGGTCTAACACAGAATTAGACAAGGTCTAACATGGAACTAAACAAGGTCTAAAAACGAGACTTCCTCAGGTTTAAAATGGGGCAAAACCAGATCTAAAACAGGACCAAACCAGGTTTAAAAGAGGACTAAACAAGGTCTAAAACAGGACTAAAACAGGTCTAAAGCAGGACGACATCAGGTCTAAAACTGGACTACATTTGGTTTAAAACAGGACTAAACCAGGTCTAAAATAGGACTACATCAGGTCTAAAATAGGACTACATCAGGTCTAAAATAGGACTACATCAGGTCTAAAATAGGACTACATCAGGTCTAAAGCAGGACTAATCCAGGTCTAAAACAGGACTGAAACAGGACTACATCAGGTCTAAAACAGGACTAATCCAGGTCTAAACTAGAACTAAACCAGGTTTAAAACAGGACTGAAACGGGACTACATCAGGACTAAACCAGGTCTAACACAGGACTAAACCAGGTTTAAAACAGGACTGAAACGGGACTACATCAGGACTAAACCAGGTCTAACACAGGACTAAACCAGGACTAAACCAGGTTTAAAACAGGACTGAAACGGGACTACATCAGGACTAAACCAGGTCTAACACAGGACTAAACCAGGACTAAAACAGGTCTAACACAGGACTAAACCAGGACTAAAACAGGTCTAACACAGGACTAAACCAGGATTAAACCAGGACTATCACACAAGTGAATTATCTGTGCAACTTTTCCGCTCGTCTTCCTGTGCACACCTGCTGCGCTCGGCCCAAATACGGCAGTCTGGTTTCTCTTTTGACGGATCGGCTCTTTACAAAAACACAAATCAATCAAAATCTTAAAGCGCGAAACAAACGAGCAATTATTTTTTAACACGGTGGGTGTCCTGTTGTTTTACTAATCCTCACTTTGATTCTCCGCAGCCCGACCGTCCACTTCAAATCCTCCCATAAAAGTCCAATCACCCAAGTAGAACCGCGCAGGAAGCAGCCGTCTGACGCCCATTTAAGGAGCGTGCCGGATCCGATCGGAACATTGGGAAGGCCGAGGACGGAGGAGCCGCTGACTCAAAACAACAGCTGACTTTTTAAACGGGGTCGGGTTAAATCAGACTCTTGGACGGGTTACTGCTGAAATAAAGGAACTGTATGCAGCCTGTGCTCGAAAAAGGAGCACTGTGGAACTTTTCTGCTCGTCTCCATGGAGATATTAGTTTTGCTTTGATTATTGCACAGTATGTAAATAAAAACGGGACTAAACCAGGTCTAAAAAAGGACTAAACTAAGTCTAAACTGGGACTAAACCAGGTGTAAAAACAGGACTACATCAGGAATAAACGAGAACTAAACCAGGTCTAAAATGGAACTAAATCAAGTCTAAACTGGGACTAAACCAGGTCTAAAACAGGACTAAGCCAGGTCTAAACAAGGACTAAACCAGACCTAAAACAGGACTAAACCAGATCTAAAACAGGATTAGACCTGGTCTGACACGGGACTAAAACAGTTCTAAAACAGGACTACATCAGAGTTAAAACAGAACTCAACCAGGTCTAAAACAGGACTACATCAGAGTTAAAACAGAACTCAACCAGGTCTGAAACAGGACTACATCAGGTATAAACTACAACTAAACCAGGTCTGAAACAGGACTTGATCAGACCTAAAACAAGACTATACCAAGTCTAAAACAGGACTAAACCAGGTCTAAAACAGGACTAAACCAGGTCTGAAACAGGACTTGATCAGACCTAAAACAGGACTAAACCAGATCTAAACTAGGACTAAAACAGGTCCAAAACAAGACTACATCAGGCCTAACACAGAACTAAACCAGGTCTAAAACAAGACTACATCACGTCTAAAACAGGACTAAACCAGGTTTAACACAGGATTAGACCAGGTCTAAAACAGGACTACATCAGGTATAAACTAGAACTAACCCAGGTCTAAAATGGGACTAAACCAGGTCTGAAACAGGATTTCATCAGCTCTAAACTCGGACTAAACAAGGTCTAAAATGGAACTAAATCAGGTCTAACAGCCAAAACACCAAAGTAAAACAAACGACTTTACAATAATGTCCAGTGTTTTTGTAAATAAAAATAAATCAGCTTTGTTTTTTTGTTTTTATTGGTAAAAGCTAGATTGGACTTGAACATGTTTAACTCATAATCTTACATACAGTTCCTTTAAAACAGTCAGACTTAGGCCGAGGGCAAAATTTCAATATAATTATACACAGATAGGTTATAGAGACATTATTTATTTAAAATTTTTGGTAACACTTTAGATTAGGGACCATATATTAATAGCTAGTTAATAATAAAATGCGTAATAAGTGCTTAGTTACATCTTTGTTAATATTTATAAAGTACTTTCAATTCATTTTTGTCTAAGGCCGTATTTTGCGAGAATCAGCCCATTAATTATTTTCTTCCCATTAAAGTAGCAGAGATTTGCCAGGTTGGCCCCACCTAGTGCCGATGCTCAATTTCATTTCTCAGAAAACACTAGACGGTTCGCAAAAACCCAGGAAGTGCAAGTTCGGGCACCAGCCAGTCAGAGTCATATATTTAGTGTCGTCAATGATTTAAATGAGGATTTAAAGCCGGAACAAAGAGAATGTTTGGTGAATTTTATCAAGGGGAAAGACGTTATTGCCCTTCTTTGTACGGGATTTGGTGCATTACATACGTCACGATCAAATAGCAGCGGTTAAATCAGGAGCGTCAAACTCAAATTCACGTTGGGCCAAAATTAAAAACTGGGACGAAGTCGTGGGTCAAACTAAATATTTATTGAAAAATTTCAACATCTGCATGTTTTCTCTTCTTTCGACATATGTAATGTTAAACCTTTTCTTATTAAAATAAATGTTTAATAATAGTTTTGCTTAAACATTGAATCCAGAACAAGCAGAATATAAAATAATAACACATTTTTTAAATAAATAATGTCTCTATAGTCTATCTGACCTCGCGGGCCAAATATAATTATATCGCAGCCCAAATTTTGAGTTTTGAGTTGAATTTCCGAGTTTGACATGTCTGGGTTAAATGATAAAAAGTACCCGCCTACTGTCGAGCGAACGAATCCTAATGCTGAGAGGTCAGACGGTTTCTACAAAGTGAAACCGTCTGATGAATCAGGCTAAGTAGAGTTTACAATCGATGTTTTTGTGCATAGACTGAAATCTTAATAAGCATTAATAAGTGTTTGATTAATACCAACTACAGCTAAGTAACAACTACTTATCATACCAATTATGACTTATTTAGTGATTAATATGTGGTCCATAAACTAAAGTGTTACCAAAATGTTGTTATTATTTTATATTTTGCTTGTTCTGGATTCAAGGTTTAAGCAAAACTATTATGAAACATTTACTTTAATAAGAAAAGGTTTAACGTTACACATCTCGAAAGAAGAGAAAAGTAAATATTTAGTTTGGAGCACGACTTGATCCCAGTTTTTAATTTTGTCCTTCTGTGAATTTGAGTTTAATTTTTCTGCTTTAAAAGGTGTTTGAAGCAACTTTCCTGTTCAAGGCTCGACCAACTCGTCTCCATGGAGATGTTTTCTTAGCCTGGAATGTTCCATGTGTTTTTCAATGTATTTTCGAGCAATAAAACAAGATAGATACACTTCAGTGCTATTCTGAGTGAGTCTCCAGTCAAAACAATAACATCTCCATGGCGACGAGCAGGTGTTGGATTAGCGCACGGACATGAATCTCCGTGATAGTCGGAGTTCACACACTCCAGAAGAAGAATCCGTCTTGGGCTTCTCCTGCGTTCGCATTTGGACCAATCGCAGTGCGGCGTCGTGGTTCGGACGGGTCAAAGGTGAAGCGCCAAAACCCAAAACAAACATGGAAAATAAGACCGACTTTTGAAAAAAACGTGTGCATTTTTGAAAGAAAAGACGAACTATGGAGCTTTTTTGGCCATCCGTATGACATTAAACATATCTATCTATGTCCACCTTTACATGATGCTTTTTTAATTCTGAATTAATTATTCTCCTTCGAGTTTACACGGAAATAATAATAATAATTCCGAACTGAGGTTTGAAAGGAAAACACGTTAAATTATCTTTATTTATTTCCGCTCGACGTCCGGGGGTCGGGAAGGGTTCTTACGTCGACCGGAAGAAAACACAAAGTTCAGCTGCTACCGGCTTTTCCGTCATCTCGATTTGTCGTTACGCCACGGACACAAACACGATCCAAACTTTTTCCCGCGGTCGTTCCGAGGATATTTGCGCAGCAGCTGGAGAATCCTCTCGTCACGCTTTACGTCTTTACGGGAGGAAGAAGACAAACTGAGTCAACGGCCGCTCTACCTCAGCCCACTCCCGCACTCCCGCTCGCAAATCCAAAGAGACGTGGAGGAAAGTCCGAATATTTCAACCTAAGATCCTTTGCACCGTGACGTCTACATCACATTTGTATCTGTAGTCAACTGCTGCTGGAGAACAGGTTGGGTGTAATTGACGATCAAATTGGGAGAAATAAATGGGGATAAAATCTGATGTAAATTGATGATAAAGGAAATGTGGAAATATACGGCCTAATTTTGGAAAAAGAAATGAGGTAACAGGGCTGAGGGAACGTAGGCGCTCTCCCCAGGGGACACAGGGCTCAAAACTGGGACTGTCCCGGGTAATTATGGACGTCTGGTCACCCTAAACAACCTTAATGTTTGGCTAATGTTTGTATGTGAAGCTACTGTTTCAGCAAAATGGAAACTGAAAAAAACAGAACTTTGACTGTGTCTGAATGTCCACCCAAGCCCCTAACCCTTCAAACACCACACAGTCTGAAATCTCTGAATGTTGTCATCTACATAACCTCTATAAACTGGAGTGTGACGAGGGTGACCAGAGTTTCAAAATCAAAAACAGTGACACGCCCGGTTTGAGGTGATTGGCAATAATAAAACTGTGAAACGAGTGCGTGATTAAGGAAAACTTCTGCACTTGGCTCATTCATGACTAACATCAGTCAGTATAGTCTCATTTTCTTTGTGTTTTGGTCATTTTTAAGCAGCTTTTGTGTATTTTACCAAAACAAATAACAATTTATGCCTCTCTTTACTGTTGGTGAGTATCAAATTGGTCAAAAATAGGGACACTCTGGGCATTTCTTGTATAAAACTTGGACAAATCACTGGTTTTGGATAAATCTGCTGGAAGAGGGAATGCAGGGCTCAAAACCGGGACTGTCCCGGGAAATAGGAACGTCTGGTCACCCTAAACAAATTTAAAGTTCGACTAATGTTTTTATGTGAAGCTACTGTTTCACTCAGATTCACAGCTAAAATGGAAATTGAAAGAAACAGAAACAGAAAGGAGACTTCGGCTGTATCCACATGTCCACCCTCACCCCTGACCCTTCAGTCACCACACAGCCCCTCTGTCCACAGTGTCAGTGGTGGGAGAAAAGTCCAGGGCTGTTTCTTGGTCCCAGCCCTGCGGCCCTGCACTTTATATATTTGTTATGATTTATTTAAGAAGAACATAAAAACATTTATGTGTTCTGAGTTGAAAATGTCATTCCTCACACTCACTGAAAAATCTCTGAATGTTGTGATTACGGTGACCAAAATTCTAAACTGGGACACACCCGGATTGGGATGTTTGGTATAAAAATAAAACTGTGAAAATAGCGTGTAACATTGTGGATTCTCGTGTCAGTCATAATCTCAGGGACTTCCATTACTGCATTATTTTTATTTTTTTATTTTTTTTATGGTCATTTGCAAACACAGATTTCTATATTTTGGTTGAACAAATGACAATTTACACTCCTCTTTACTGTTGGCAGGGATCAGAAAAGTCAAAAATTGTGATAGTCCTGTTTTAGACCTGATGTAGTCCTGGTTTAGGGTTTAGTTTAGTCCTGGTTTAAACCAAATTGGTCCAAAATAGGGACATTTCTTGTATAAAACTGGGACAAATCACTGGTTTTGTGTAAATCTGCTGGAACTGAGGACACAGGGCTCAAAACTGGGACTGTCCCGGGTAAACAGGGACGTCTGGTCACGCTAAACTGTGTTTCTCACTGATAAATCTCTGAATGATTAGGGTGACCATATTTTCAAAATTCGCAAACACGGTTTTCTGTATTTTGACAAAACAAATGAGAATTTCTGCTCCTCTTTACTGTTGGCAGGGATCACATAATCAAGAATTGTGATATTCCTGTTTCAGACCTGATGGAGTCCTGGTTTAGGGCTTAGTTTAGTCCCTATTTTTGGTCCAAAATCGGGACACGTGGGACATTTCTTGTATAAAACTTGGACAAATCAGTGGTTTTGTTTAAATCTGCTGGGACAGGGGACACGGGACTCAAAACTGGGACTGTCCCGGGTAAACAGGGACGTCTGGTCACTCTAAACTGTGTTTCTCACTGATAAATCTCTTGATGTTGAGATTAGAGTGACCAGATTTTCAAAATTCAAAACTGTCATTTGCAAACACAGTTTTCTGTATTTTGGCAAAACAAATGACAATTTCTGCTCCTCTTTACTGTTGGCGGGGATCAAATTAGTCAAGAATTGTGATAGTCCTGTTTTAGACCTGATGTAGTCCTGGTTTAATCTAAGTTTAGTCCCTATTTTTGGTCCAAAATAGGGACTCCTGGGACATAAACAGGGACGTCTGGTCACCCTAATCTGTGTTTCTCACTGATAAATCTCTGATAGTTGAGATTAGAGTGACCATATTTTCAAAATTCGCAAACACGGTTTTCTGTATTTTGGCAAAACAAATGAGAATTTCTGCTCCTCTTTACTGTTGGCAGGGATCACATAATCAAGAATTGTGATATTCCCGTTTCAGACCTGATGGAGTCCTGGTTTAGGGCTTAGTTTAGTCCCTATTTTTGGTCCAAAATAGGGACACCTGGGACATTTCTTGTATAAAACTTGGACATATCAGTGGTTTTGTATAAATCTGTTGGAACAAGGGACACGGGACTCAAAACTGGGACTGTCCCGGGTAAAACTGGGACGTCTGGTCACTCTAAAAGTTTGACGTCACTCCCGGGTCCAGGGCACATCAGCTCCTCACGAGGTTGAGGTAAAATCTAGGCTAAACTAAAGTAGCATTAGCGGTGACCGGCGGTTAGTGAGATATAAACACCGGGAATCCAGCGTAAAATGTAATTATTGGATTATTTACACGTCTGAAGTTGTGGTTAAACGTACATGAACATACACGGGTGTGAAGTCGCTGGTCGGACCCGGGAGTGGCGTCATTACGTAACACTCCCGTCGTGTATCGCTATAGTGCTATGCTAACGTTGGCTAGCTCCGCTTTAGCCCTTCGTGAACATCTCTTATTGCACTCGGTGTCGTTTTTAAGGCTACATTTAAAACAAACTATATTTAAATAACGTGATAATTCTTTTTTTCTGTCCTTTTCGCACAATGTGAAGCAGCAAATTTGCATTTTTTGCGCAACTCTTTCAAAATATTTCCTCTAAACGGTGCAAACTCGCTGCTCGGACGCCGCGCCGTCGCTTCATCCGAGTCCCAAACGTGGCGTCCGGTTTGCAACTAACTTCTCTTCTTTCTACTCGTCTGTTTTCCCGTCTCTCCTCCCTCCTCCGAGTGCATTTGTTCCAGTTGTTTGTCGGGATAAGTTTGTTGGTTGGCGGGTTTCTGGTTCACCCTTTGGAGGAGTCGGCTGACAGGTTTTCCAGTAGCATTCTGTAGACGTCAGAGCGGAGGAAGCGTGGATAGGAATCTCGCTCCATCAAACCGTACACGATCTTCTGAGCCTCGTCGAAGCAGTGCGTCGTGGGGGTTTTGACGTTTCGCTTGATCTGTTCGCGCGTCTGGTGGTCGATGTTGATCTGGAGGGAGATACGCAAGGAGAAGTTATAAAAGTAGAACTAAAATAACTACATTAATTTAGGGAAAAAACTAAATAGCAGTGTGTGGCTCTGACCTCTTTGGGCGACTCCGCTTTGATGAACTGCTCGTAGATGCGTTTGGCTCGAGACGACATCCTGAAGGACGAGCGGATCTTCTTAAAGTCCTCACAGGTGAGCCAGAACTCCATGTTCTCATCGCTGTACTCCGACTTCAGGAACGAGCGGAACGTGGCCAGTCCATCTGAGGAGGGACACAGCAAGGTCACATGACAGGTCACATGACAGGACCTCTACATGACAGTCCTCCACCCAAACATGCTACATAGGTCTCATAAACAGTTGATAGTCATGGTCAGTTAAAATACAATCAATTCAATCATTGTGTCCTTAGGCAAGACACTTCACCCACATTGCCTAGTATGAAAGTGGTGTGTGTGTGAGTGCTGGTGGTGGTCGGAGGGGACGATGGCGCCGAGTGGCATGGCAGCCGCGCCTCTGTCAGTGTGGCCCAGGGCAGCTGTGGCTACAATAGTAGCTTACCATCATCAGGGTTTGAGTGAATGAATAATGCTGTATGAATGAATGCTGAATGAATAGTGCTGATAATGCTGTGTAAAGCGTCTTTGGGGACAGAAAATGTCTGTGAAAGCGCTATATAAATAAAGACTTACTTACTTACTTACTTACTCCACAGAGGGACACGGTCACATGACAGGGACATGACACCGTCACGTGACAGGTTAGGCTGATCTGACAATTATTAAACCGTACAGTTTGTAAGGACAAACTACAAAAAAGTGTTTGTAAAGAAAAAGTGCTTCTGCGGATGACTTATGAGTTAAACACAGGAGTTTAAAACAGTGATGTCTGTGACTTAAAGGTTGTATAGAGGATTTTTTTAAGGGAAGAGAAAATACAGCGACAGTCCTTGTGCGCATTCAGAATTACTGTTGAAGTGACTCTGTTTAGAAGTAATTCTATCTGGGATATTCCAGGGAAAGCAATAACATCTCTATGGACACGAGCAAGCAGCGAACCGTCAATAAAAATACATAAATAAATAAATAATTTGCTTGTAGACTTACATTTGGAGTCGAGCAGTTTCTCCAGCGACTGCGACCACTGCTGTGTGTCTTCTAGAGTGAGTTTGCTGCTGTGAAGAGACAAACGCACGAGGTGAGGGACGAGGACGAACACTGAACCTGTGGACTGTTTGAAATTAACAATTTTTTTTTTTCTTTTTCATGTTTTTAAGACCGAAAAACATGAACAGTGCCTTTAAAGAGCCTGTATTACACTATTTTAGATCTACAGTATGTTATAAATATGTTTCCTCATCACAGAAAGACCTGGAGTTGTGTGTTTGTTTTTGTTTCATTCACATGTTTAACACACAAACCTTCTTCTGTCAAATGGGAAATAGAAAAATTTGATAATTTTTCTTGTCAACTTGAATCGACTCAAGTAAAAATGTTCTTAATTTAACTCATTTTAATTTAGCTCGATATTGTTTTTTTCCAGTGTACCGAACAAATAAAAGGTCAAAGGTCGTATTAACATGAAAACTACCACTTCATGACATCACAAGTTGAACCACTATTTTTTTTATTATTTGTTTCTAAAATCTAAATTTCAATTTGAAGTTTTCAATTTTGTGTTTAACTGAATAATGGAAAAAATCGGATAATGGTAGACCTGGTTCAGTCCTGGTTAAGTCCTGTTTTAGTCCTGGTTCAGTTCTGGTTTAGTCCTGGTTTAGTCCTCGTTCAATCCTGGTTTTGTCCTGGTTTAGTCCTGGTTCAGTCCTGGTTTAGTCCTGGTTTAGTCCTGGTTCAGTCCTGGTTTAGTCCTGGTTTAGACCTGGTTCAGTCCTGATTCAGTCCTGGTTTAGTCCTGGTTCAGTCCTGGTTTAGTCCTGGTTTAGTCCTCGTTCAAGTCCTGGTTTTGTCCTGGTTTAGTCCTGATTCAGTCCTGGTTTAGTCTTGGTTTAGTTCTCTTTTAGTCCTGGTTCAGTTCTGGTTTAGACCTGGTATAGCTCTGATTCAGTCCTGTTTTAGTCCCGTTTCAGTCCTGTTTTAGACCTAGTTTAGTCCTGGTTTAGACCTGGTTTAGTCCTGGTTTAGTCCCAGTTCAGTCCTGTTTTAGTACCTGTTCAGTCTTGATTTAGACCTGGTTTAGACCTGGTTTAGTCCTGGTAGAGTCTCGGTTCAATCTTGGTTCAGTCCTGGTTCAGTACTGGTTTAGTCCTGTTTTAGACCTGGTTTTAGTCCTAGTTTAGTCCTCCTGGTTCAGTCTTGGTTTAGTCCTGTTTTAGTTCTGATTTAGTCCTCATTCAGTCCTGTTTTAGTCTTGACTCAGTCCTGGTTTAGTCCCATTTTTTCATTTTCTTATTTTGCTTTTATTTTGAAAAACAAATGTACAAATGATTCACGTTTTTTTGTGTGAATGAAACAAAACAAAACTCCGGTCTCTTTTTCCGTCTGCAGATTAAACGACGCTTCATGTTGGACCTTTAAAAAAAAAATTTAAAAATCCCAAAGAGTGTGAGGTAAACGGCGCACGTGGACTTCCGAGCGACAGGGAGCGGAGCGTTAATCCGTTAATGCTACAGAAAACAGTGCGGCGCTGGCGTGTGCGTCGGCGTCGGCTTCTTCTGCCTTACATGGGAATCTGAGGCGCGCGGACGGGGGCTATTTTAAAACCCGAGATCCCCGAGATGTGATGAGAACGAAACGCTCCCTCCGTCCTCCGTCCTCCCTCGCTCCATCGGCTCACCTCTCACAGCCAGAAGAGTGGGAGAACATGCACTGCAGGCGACACATGAAGTTTTTCCCACTGTGGACGGAAAGAGGGAGAGAGGGAAGGAAGGAGGAAGAGGGAGAGAAGAAAGGAGAAGGAGAAAGGGAAAAGGAGGGAAGGTGAGGAAGAGAGGAAGGGAGAGGAAAGGAGAAAGAGGGAGGGAGAATTAGGGAAGGAAGGAAGGAGAAGAAGGGGGAGCATAGAGAGAGAGAGGGAGGGATGGAGAGGGAAGGACAGGGAAAGGGACAGAGGGAGAGAGAGAAAGAGAGAGGGAGAGAAAGAGAGAGGGAGGGACGGAGAAGGAAGGAGAAAGAGGGAGGGAGAGGAAAGGAGAAAGAGGGAGAGAGAATTAGGGAAGGAAGGAAGGAGAGGAAGGGGGAGCATAGAGAGAGAGGGAGGGGAGGAAAGGAGAGGGAAAGGGACAGAGGGAGAGAGAGAAAGAGAGAGGGAGGGACGGAGAAGGAAGGAGAAAGAGAAAGGGAGAAAGAGGGAAGGTGAGGGAGAGAGGAAGGGACAGGAGGAAGAGAGGGAGAGAGAGGAAAGGAGAAAGAGGGAGAGAGAATTAGGGAAGGAAGGAAGGAGAAGAAGGGGGAGCATAGAGAGAGAGGGAGGGGGGTAGGAAAGGAGAGGGAGAGAGAGAGAAAGAGAGAGGGAGAGAAAGAGCGAGGGAGGGACGGAGAAGGAAGGAGAAAGAGGGAGGAAGAGGGAGAGAGAATTAGGGAAGGAAGGAGAGGGACAGAGGGAGGGAGAGGTAAGGAGAAAGGAAGAGAGAGGAAGGGGGAGCATAGAGAGAGAGGGAGGGGGGAAGGAAAGGAGAGGGAAAGGGACAGAGGGAGAGAGAGGGAGGGACGGAGAAGGAAGGAGAAAGAGGGAGAGAAGAGAGGGAGGGAGAGGAAAAGAAGGAGAAGGAGGGAGGGAGAGGGAGGGAGAGGAAAGGAGAAGGAGGGAGAGAAGAGAGGGAGGGAGAGGAAAGGAGAAAGAGGGAGAGAAGAAAGGAGAAAGAGGGAGGAAGAGAGGGAGGGAGAGGGAAGGAGAAAGAGGGAGAGAGAATTAGGGAAGGAAGGAAGAGAGAGGAAGGGGGAGCATAGAGAGAGAGGGAGGGGGTAGGAAAGGAGAGGGAGAGAGAGAGAGGGAGAGAAAGAGCGAGGGAGGGACGGAGAAGGAAGGAGAAAGAGGGAGAGAAGAAAGGAGAAAGAGGGAGGAAGAGGGAATTAGGGAAGGAAGGAGAGGGGACAGAGGGAGGGAGAGGTAAGGTGAAAGAGGAAGAGAGAGGAAGGGGGAGCATAGAGAGAGAGAGGGAGGGGGGAAGGAAAGGAAAGGGACAGAGGGAGAGAGAGAAAGAGAGAGGGAGAGAAAGAGAGAGGGAGGGACGGAGAAGGAAGGAGAAAGAGGGAGAGAAGAGAGGAGAAAGAGGGAGGAAGCGAGGGAGGGAGAGGGAAGGAGAAAGATAGAGAGGAAGGGAGAAGAGAAAGAGGGAGAGAGAAAGGGACAGAGAGAGGGAGGGGTGGAGCGAGAGGAGGCGGGAGGAAGAGACGGAGGTAGAAAGAGCGAAAGAAGAAAGACAGCGAGAGAGATGAAGGGAAGTGTAGAAAGAAGAGAGAGACGGGAAAGGGCGGAAAGTGGGAAGAGAGAGGAGGGAAGGAGAGAGAGAAGGAGAAAGAAGAGAGAAAAATGGGGTAATGAAAAGTAGGTAAAGAGGGAAATTGAGAAGAGGGGAAAGAGGAATACAATTAGAACGATGCAAATAAATACATTAAATAGTACTAATTAAATATGTTGGGACAGAAAATTCCAAACTGAAGTAGTAGAAGTAGAAGTTGTAGTAACTGAAGTAAACAGCAGCATCACATGAGCAATAAAAAAAAAAAGCACTACTGAACTGTTTTGGTTAATAACTTTTAAAATTAGAACAGCAATTTCTGCTTAAAATAAAGATCTGTCCTGTCCTGAAACTGAGAATGAAACAAACTGGGCTTCATGAAGTTCCTAAAACATCGGAGAGAAAACTGAAACTGAAACCAAATAAATCCAAGAATCTTTGTTCTGGGTTTCACTTTCTACAGACGATAATATTTAATACAAACAAGAGCAGGTAAAAGACTGAATACTGTTAAAATGCAGGTTTTTTTATAATGTACTGAGTTCCTGGCAGTGTTGGGGAGTAACAGATTACATGTACTGGGATTAAGTAATCAGAGTACAAATTATGAGTAACTGTAACTTCAATGAGTGGTAATTGGATTACAGTTACTTTGTTGAAATAAATGGATTACACGGCGGGATTTTATTGTTTTTTGGGCTAAACCAGGACTAAACCAGGACTAAAACCGGGACTAAAACAAAGACTAAACCAGGACTAAAACCTAAAAGACTAAACCAGAACTTAAATGCAGGACTAAACCAGGACTAAAACCGGGACTAAACCAGGACTTAAAACTGAGACTAAACCAGGACTAAAACAGGACTAAAACCTAAGACTAAACCAGGTCTAAACCAGGTCTAAAACCATACTAAAACCAGGACTAAAAACAGGACTAAACCAGGTCTAAACCAGGACAAAAACCAAGACTAAACCAGGACTAAATGCAGGACTAAACCAGGACTAAAACTGGGACTAAACCAGGACTAAACCAGGACTAAATCAGGACTAAATGCAGGACTAAACCAGGACTAAAACCAGGACTAAACCAGGACAAAAACCAAGACTAAACCAGGACTAAATGCAGGACTAAACCAGGACTAAAAACAGGACTAAACCAGGTCTAAACCAGGACAAAAACCAAGACTAAACCAGGACTAAATGCAGGACTAAACCAGGACTAAAAACAGGACTAAACCAGGTCTAAACCAGGACTAAAACCGAGACTAAACCAGGACTAAAAACAGGACTGAACCAGGGCTAAAAGCAGGACTAAACTAAGACTAAACCAGGTCTAAAACCAGATCTAAAAGCAGGACTAAACCAGGACTAAACCAGGTCTAAAACCAGATCTAAAACCAGATCTAAAACCAGACTAAACCAGGACTAAACCAGGTCTAAACAATATGACACTTAATAGTCGGGTGGACATAACTGAAGGCAGCAGTGTCTCATATAAAAATCATTTCTCTATCAGGATGTGTTTGCTACATTCATGTCGTTTTAAAAAGTACGACAATATCAAGTAATCCAAAGTATTCAGATTACATTACTCACTTTAAGTAATTTAATGGATTACGTTACAAACTACATTTTGGGGTGTGTAATCTGTAATCTGTAGGGGAATACATTTTAAAAGTCAACTTCCCAACACTAGTTCTTGGTTCTAGTCCAAAGGTGTCCAAGCTCCTTTTACAAAATGAAAATGCCAAAGAGCTCCTCATTTTATCGATCGCAAGAAACTGAGTAAATTTAAGAGCCACGGCCTTAGATGGGGCAGAGTTGGATGTTTTTACTCTTACAACATGCACTGCGTTAGTAAATGGTCAAATTTTTCTACAGCGCGTTTTCACCTTCATTTTTTTTTAACAAGGTAAAACAAAATCAACAACACTAACAAAAAACAAAACAAAAACAAGGATATGTACATGTACATATTTGGGACATGTTGCTCAAAAGGAGTAGGATGTAGTTTAAAAATAAAATTATAATGTCCTACCCCAACTGTTTTACATAATCACATGTTTGTTGTTTTTTTTTGTTTGTTTGTTTTTTCACTTTTGGAGTGAATCATTCGCTTATTCATTTTTCAATATAAAACCAAAAAATAAGAAAATGAAAAAACAACAGTTTTCTTCATTATTTGTCTCCAAAACCAAAATGAAAAACAGATAATGATTCGTGTTTTCAGTTTTCGATTTTATGTTTAAATGAAAAATGGAAAAAACGGATAATGGTCATTTCCCATTTACGTGACGTCTGTGACTGTGATGCTGGACTTTTGCACCGCGTACGGACTGAACCAGGACTCATCCAGGTCCAGGACCAGAGTGAGACCAGACCGGGACCAGAGCGGGACCAGAGCAGACTCCGAGCTTTGACTCCGAGCCTCCGCGGGGTCCACGCCTCAGCTTCGAGCTCCGGCCGTGGGCTCTGAGCCTCCGGTAGTGGGATGTGTGAGATCTTTGTTGATCATCAAACATCACATCTGTTCTCGATAACAGCCAGGGCAGGGAGAATGGGAGTCAAAATCAGAGCCGGATTGACCCGGGACAGTGGAAATCGAGGGCCGGGGTGGAGGGGGGGGTTCCTTGCAGGTGAATGTGAGGACGGGGGGTGGACACCGGCGAGAAAAATACTTTTGGTATATATAATTTCATTTAGTGTAAATCCCTTCTTCGTTTGTGTGGAGCTGGTCCCTCACCAGAAATGAAATGTTGACTGCACAGACGATTGTACTCAGTGGGCTCCATCCCTCTGTTTTTATGCCGCTCTCCACATCTGTCTGCGATCTTTATCAGCCGGGATCCGATAGATCAAAAACATTTTAACTAAAATATGACAATATCAGAACCAGAAACAGAAGTGATATGGTTCAAAAGACTTGAAAAGATGGACTTTGTCAATAGACTCATCCCACTGGGAAAACAAACATGGAGGTTTGATGTTCACTTTTTCGGAAAATCCTCCCCAGTTTGCACAGCGCAATGACCGGACGTCCGAGATTCTTGATGTGTCTATTCTAATTTTATCACACACAAATACTACACGTTCGTCCAGATGGATAGTTTGACTCCAATACGGTGACATCAGCACCAGGTCACGTGGTTTTGTGACGTAGATGCAAAGATTCCCAGCACCTGTTCGGGACGCTGGTCTTGGAGGCCAGTCTGCCATTTTGTGTTTGTGCGTGTCTCGTTCTGTAGTTTAGTTCTGTTTTGTGCCTTTTTTAATTTGTATCTCGATTCTGTTTGTAAGTTTATGTGGTTTTACTTTGGGACACTTGTATTTTAGTTTTGTACGTCACTTGTTTCTGCGTAAGCCTGCGTGACCCATTTTGTGGCACAAAACTTGTATGTTAATTCTGTTGTTTTGTTTCTTAGTTTAGCTTATATTG